TATTTCATTAACATGGAAAGATGGCCACATTATATAAAATAAAAAAACTATAAAACAATGCTTAGAGTATGGTCCCATTTATGAAATAGTATATCTGAGTGTGTTTATACTGGCAGATAGAAAAAAATCTAGAAGGAAATATTTCAAAGTACTAACAGTAATTATTTCTTGATGGTAGGCTTATGGGTGATTTTCTTATACATTTCTGCTTTATCCTTTTTTTCCCAACAATTTGGATATATGTTTTAAATGTAAAATAAGAGAGCCTTTAAAAGAAAATTTAATTGTATTGATGAATATTGATTTAAAGCAGAATGCCTTTAATATGACAGATGTCACTTGTACTGCAAGCTAATTAATTATAAAGGATACTTCACAAATGTGAAATGATAGCTCAGATGGCATGATTTACTCTCTGGCCAGTGCTGAATTACCAAACAGTTGGACAAAGTACATGCCTACAGTGTTAGCAAAGAAAGGGAGACATCAAAAAACTACAATATTTTGGAGAAAAGTATTTGATTTTTGATACTTCAGAAAAGTATAAAAGTATTTGTCCAGGAAATATCAGAAAGTTGTTAAACCAATGTACACTTATTTATGAGTTAATATCATTTTAATTTTTAAGAACATGTAGGTAGAGAGATGCTTAGGACATACAGGTAGGAGGTATGGGCTAAGTTTCTTCAAGGTCCAGGACCTATAGAAATTAATTTGGTCCTAAGCACAGGAAAAAATACTGTGCTACCCCCCAACTTTATGTCATTAAAAATAAAAATAATACTTAGGCATAAAATAAGTGCACATCAGTCCAACAAAGTTCCAAGTTTTCCCCAAATGCTTCATGCTTTTATTAAATAACATGAATCCCAGATTTTCTCCAAAATAATTTTTGTCTACCTTTTTTTGGCTGATAACTGAAGAATGAATTTAATCTATGTGGCAATCCAATATGATCAAAGAACAAATCATATCCAAATATCCAAATAAATGTCCAAATAAAAATGAACTACATTTAATGCAGAGTTTACTATATTTGATATTTTAAAATTCAAATCGGCAAGATAATTTGCTAAATTTTCTAATATGGCAGATTTGAGCTCATGAGAGTTGGAATTAGGGCCCAACTAGGCTATTTACCAAACCCAAACTTGAACAAGTCTAATCTCCTGAGCCTCTTTCCACTAATGTAAAATAATTATGATGACACTAGCTTTACTGGCATGACAGAATTTTGGGGAATATAAGATGACAAATAAAGAATGTAAAATGACTTTATGAACTACAAAAGATTATATTAAGATAAGGTGTAATGATGGTGCTAATTACAACTATATTGTTTTCGTCATTAACTATTGCACATGTGTATAGCTTATATACCCCCCACAAGGAAATTCTAGTTCCTAGATATGCAAATTGTGCTAGTCATAAGAGCTCTACAAATAGTTGTTTTTCAACTGATTAATTCATCATGTCTGAAAACACATTTTCACTTGGTAAAATAACATTTGGGATGTGCAAACAGGGGGAACTGTAACTGACCTCTCAGAGCAACACCCAAGTATACATCTAGTTTATTTATTTCAGTAAAAAACAATTGAGTAATTTATGTTAAAACTTCCAAGATAAATTTTGTTTTCTTTTTGGTCCCAACTATGGAAAACAAAGCATTAATCTTTTTATGAAACTATGAAAAATGTAGAAAACAGTTTTGACTCTCCAGCTATTTTCTAAGTTCCCCTGATGGAGACTTGAAGCATGTACATAAGACTGAAATATGTTCTAAAGTCACTTGAAGAAATAAGGAACATCCTATCACAAAGTGAGAAATTAGATAATATGCGTTTTATCCCAATTAAAACAAGTTTTACAAAAGTTTAAATGCCAGTCAAAATGTTGAATATTGCAACAAGAATGGCATTTTCAAGATAGTATTTGAGAAAAAGGTAATTAATTAATTAGCTTGTTGTTAAATAGCACATTTAAATAATCAAATGTATGTCTCTTCCATATATTTTGTTTGTTCTGACATCAAATTGATGGCTCTTGAACTATTGATATTTTGTATCTAGACCCCACTAAACCCCATTTCATTTTTTAACATTAGCCATACCAAAGGGAATAATGTTAATATGGCTGTTAGGCATCACATTCCATAAAGTTGCTGAGAAAGGAGTCTTATGAAGAGGACAATGTTCAGTTCCCTGCATCCTGACAAGATAACATACACGTTTCTCCAAGCATACGGCCAATTGATTTCTTTAAAAATATTCAGATTCTGTAATTTAGAAGCCCATTACAACATGGAGTCTTACTGCTGCAGGTCTAGCAGTACCTGATGTTAAACAACTAAAGCACACTCTTAAATGGACAATTTACTCTAGAAAAAGCCAGTAAAGTTCTTGAGAAAGAATTTAGCCTGTTCCAAATAAATGCATGTCTATGGCATACTTTTGGAGGTTTTGAAGAAGGATGCACTGCCTTATCTGGTTATCCAGTTGACTGTTCAAATTTGCTATCAGGAAGTTTTACATTGTGTATTTCTAATCTTCATTCTTTCTAATGAAGCTGAAGCCCAATGACCATATTTTAGGCTCCAAAAAATGTCAGTAAGCAATGTCCAGCTCTTTGAAGTAAATGATCATCATCTCTTAGTTTCACTTCTCCCAATAAAATCATCCTAATTTCCTTATCCTTTCTTAGAGGGTTCAACTTGTAGTCCTTTAAAAACAGTTCACTTTTCTGTGACCCCTCGGCAAAGGTCATATAATCGTCTCAAGTTGTAGGATCAAAAACTAGACCCTTATTTCCATCAGGGTCTGACCACACAGCTGAAACTCACTGCTGAGAGTCAGTTCTATGTCCATGACTTAGTGATTTGCCTCTGCTCAAAATGTACCAACTTCACCTATAAAACCACATCCCAATGAAAACTCGAAACAAAGGAAATAAAACAAAGCCCAAGGTAACTGTTTTCAGTGCATGAAATACAATGCAACTGCAACTACAACACGTCTTAATTTTTTAAAGCTTACTGAAATTTTAATTTTTCCAGTCAAAAGTTATCATTAACGATTCAGGATGCAGAGTGTTATAAAATTTTTGTTATGACATACAAGCCCAGTACCCCTTTCCCTGCTCTACTTTATGTAGTTGTGATAATAAGGCCTATGGTAGCATGACTTGATGGAGCTGTGAATCTATATAATATATGACATGCCATGAGCACATTAAATCCATTCTTCCTATTAAGGTGCTGAAGAGCCTTCCCATATATAAACCAAACCGGACATTTATTCTCAGAGAAGTTAAACTATAAACCTGATTCAAATACATGTAAAGATTGTAAATGAAGGGGAGCAGTGTGTAAAATAAAATGCAGGATTAGAACAAACGTTTTCTTTTACATTTAAAAAATGTTTGCACTGACAGTGATATTGTTAGAGAAGAGAGAGATGGATAAAAAATAGTCCGTATGATAAATGTAACGTTACTAACACAGTTTTACCTGCAAGGATTTTTCTGGCTTTAATTCAATGAAATTTCTATTATCCTGGGTGGTAATGGAGCCCTGTACCCTACTCATCTAAGGCGTCTTTAGTATCCTGAGTTGCCTTAAAGCTGTGACATAGTAAAAGGTCAAGCAGATCACACTAAGCATTTGTAAACCACAATAGCCCCCCATTTTGCCTGCAAGCCACACATTCTCACCCTAAGCTTTGCTCACTCTCGTTTCATTTCATTGCATAAGCAGGCTAATTTGGAGATGGCTGAGGTACTTGGGAACACCTAGATTTTCAAAACAGTCCCACTTTCCTACTTAACCACCTAAAGAAGTAGACCCATAACACAACATTTGAGGGAACTGTAAAATGGTGCCTGGATACTGAAGGAATAAACAGCAAATAGCAGCACTATTAAAGAAATGAATGCATTTCACCTTCCAACTCATCTGTGCTTCCTGGGACACAGGTACAAACATGAAAGGCTTGGGGTAGAATTTCAAGAAAACTGATTTGTTTCAACGTTCATTTGGCAAGATGCTAGACACAAAATAATACCACAGGCCACCTCCCTTTCCTATCATTGTAAATTCAGGGTTCTCAAATCACCCCCCACAAACCCAATTAAAAATAAAGAAAAGAGGCAGGCTATGAATTCACATCCAGTGCTATGATACAGATTGCCCTAATAGGTCACAATGAAACTAAGGGACAATAACAAGAATAAATCTTGCATTAATCCAAATGAAGCCAATGAATAATAATACAAACCAGAAGCACAGTTTCAAAAATATGCAATTACCTCCAAGCATGCAAGGTCATTTATAACCCATAAAAATGATTGCAAAGCACACTCTGCATATAAATATGTTTCATAAATGCTAAGTAACATGTGTATGTATGATATGCATATCCATAGGGTATCCATTTGTATGTTCACAATCAAATCTATGTACTAAAAATGAAACTCTATCTGGCAAATGGTTTCTCAGCAAGAGTACATCAGAATATGAAATAAAATGCTAAATTCTGGGGCTACCTTTTCTTAGCAATGAGGGAAATAAGCAAAATCACCTTATGATTAGGCCGGAAAGCTTAGGAAGCACCAAATGTGTTTTTGAGGAAGGCCTAACCCTGTGTGTGAGAGCCGCAAATTAAATGATTCCCTTCAATAACATCCATTTCTTGTCAGCTCTTTTTCCACCCCCTGATTCTGTTGCTAAGCTTGGAAGGAAAGGAACCAAGTGGCTCAGTCTGCATTCTGAGCCAGTTCAGGATAAAATCACAACACCATTTTTTTTTTTTTTTTAACACAAGCAGATGCCTTCTTACTTCTCTCTTCCTGGCAACCTTCCTCTCTCCCATCCCCATCACTGTCTCCACATCTTCCTCTCCTTCTCTGAGGGAGTCATTGTTCAAGTGCAGGCCACAAATGTATACACAGGTCATTTAACAGCCAGCTAAACCAAGAAGATAACCCCGCTCTCTGCTACTTACCATGCTGAGACGCGGAGAAGCTGTTGAAAGGAGGGAGAGATGCAAACTGAATCCATTTTCCTTGTGACCGTGTCGGATGCAGCCTCCGAACCCAACATCAGCAGCGGCTGCTGGGATTTTTTTCCCTCACTCTCTGGTTGGCGACGGTGCGAATAGGAACCACCCTTCCAGCCTCACTAGAGTATCAGCAGTCGAGGCGGCAGAAGCAGCAGCATCACCACAAGGCCTCCTCCCTCTCGGAGGATGGGGTGAGCTCAGAAGCAGCCAGGAACTTGCAGCAGATACCTCCTCTGGCTCCTCCTCTCCGGCCCCCTCCTCCAAAGCCCCACCCCTGCTGCGGTAGAGGCTGCCAGCCCTGGCTGCTGCTGGTTGTCATGGCAACGACCAATGGTAAGCCACCAGACTAAGAGGGAGGCGAGATGGGTGAAAGGAGCTGCAGGGGTTGGAGGGGAGTGAATTTGCGCTGCTGCACTCTGGGATGCTCTTGGTCTCTCCTACCCTGGACTCCAGGTCTTTAAAAATGGGGTAAGGGTGTATAGCCACGGGAAGAGAATAATTTCAATTTTATTGAAGCCTAGACTGAATCATACAAAACAGCTTAGCTATTTTTTCATTTTCTATGGTTTTCCAATAAAATGTATTAAATTTGCAATCAGAAAAAATAATAACAAATATGGAGAAAGTTATATAATGTAATAGGAGATTATTATCACTCCAAATATGTTTGTTCTTTATAGCATCTTTTACTCAAAGCCACTCAAGGTTGTTAACAAGGAAAATGGGTGGCTGGACTTTGCAATTAAAAGAGAGTCTGTTTGATTCCTTGGCACTACTCTGCTTGTTCTTCTCAGGTGAGTCATTGTTTTTCCAGCTCCCCCTCTGAAGAGGACCTGGAGTTGTTTGGCACTCCCCTGTGGAAAAGGAAGTTGGAACAGAGGAATCAGAAATTCCTTGAGCAACCACGGCTCTCAGTTGGTGGACAGTTTCAAACCTTTTTAGTGTCAGACTCCTGGAGTATTCAATATCCTGCAGGAAATTCCATGCTATTTCAAGGATGCCCTTTTGGAGGTCCCAAGCCAGCTGGTGGTCTGGGTGGTGAGTAGGAAAAAAAGGATGTGAAATCAGCAGTGCTGAGTTCTAGATGAATTGTTTCTAACTATACATTATAAATGACACTAGTATTTATCTCAGGCAGTAGTTGTAAAGATTGAATGAGATAATGCACTAAAAGCACTTGGCATGTAGTAAGCATATAATAAATGTTTACTCTTATTGCTATTATTATTAGTGGTGGTAGTACATTGTAGCCACTTCTTGATCCAAGGGATTCAAGGAATAGAGTGGCAATTTCAGACACGGGAAAAAATTAAGGTGAGAAAACACTTAACACATGATAGCTGTGATGATGATGATGATGATGAAGATGATGGTGACAATGATGATGATGACAAAAACAGCGAGGCCCTAAGAGATTAAAAGTTTTCTAAAATGTGACAATTAAGGACATTGTAAGCCTTAAAGGAGTTAAATAAATTTCCCAAATCCACACGGCTAATACATGGCAGAGCCAGAATTAAAACTCTGATGCTTCTAACACTAGCATTTGCTCTCCTAACCATTACATTTTCTGCTACTCCTCCATGGAATGGAGATACGCTTGTTCTTAATCCATAGGGTTACTTACAGATTCAAATAGGATTAGTACAAATTTCAGAGTCAGACAGCCTGGGCTCGACTGACTTTAGATATGATTTGGGACATGTTAATTAACTTTCCTGAACCTATGTTCCTTCATCTGTGAAATGGAAATAATTGTAGAACCTCATCGTGAGAATCAAATAGGATGATGCATGTAGAGCATGAGCACAATGTCTAGCACAAAGTGCTAGCTATGATTCTTTGTTACTCATTCTCAAGTAATTAATTTTAAAATGTGAGAGGACATTTTTTTTTTTTTTTTGCAGTACGCGGGCCTCTCACTGTTGTGGCCTCTCCCGTTGCGGAGCACAGGCTCCGGACGCGCAGGCTCAGCGGCCATGGCTCACGGGCCCAGCCGCTCCGCGGCATGTGGGATCTTCCCGGACCGGGGCACGAACCCGTGTCCCCTGCATCGGCAGGCGGACTCTCAATCACTGCGCCACCAGGGAAGCCCGTGAGAGGACATTTTCCTGCTTGGGTTCACACTTAATGTCAGGGCCTTATTCTAGCAAAACTGATTTGAAGGCAATTAGGTGGTTGAGGAAAGGGTTGCAACTCATCCTCCACACTTGGCATTGCCTCCGGGTCCTCTCCAGGGGAGAGGCTGCATCATGCTCTGTGCAGCTAGGGGCCCCTCCCTCCCCCAGAACCTAGACAGTCAGTCTACACACACTTGCACGTCAGCAGCACGTGAGTGTAGCTGTGTAGCGTAAAGGAATGGGTTGTGATAGTCTAGCTTTTGTATTAATCTTCTACTGTCTCCACAAAAATGGTCATGTAAAGTAAGCAGAGAAGAAAGCTGCAGGTGGTAGAAACTCAGACGTGCTTAGGTGATGGAATCCTCTCCACCAGCCTTGTGAGGAAGCCTTTTATCTTGAGCACCAAGAGCTGACTTGGTTGGGGTGAACTTGGTAGTTTTCTCTCCTCCTATCAACACAGAGGCAATAGGAAGGGAAAAGTGTTTGGTGTTCCCTATTTAAACAATTCCCTAATTTAACCATTCAAATAGTACTCTTCCTTTTTTTTTTTGGCTATATCCATGCAGCACTGTTACCGTTATTTAATAATATTTTCCTTTAGATATTTAATTGTGTGGTATTTTATTTACTTTAATTATTTGTTATTTATTTACTTTAAAAGGAAATTTGCCTGTGGCTTTGGCAAAACATTAATAAAATTAGGCATGGTAAAGAGAATGTTCCCAGAAAAAGGAACTTAATGTAAAACAATATATATATATTTTTTAGTTAAACAAAGACTTCAACTTCACTTGTAATAATTTTTAGTTAAAAAAAAGAAAATTTAAAATTTCATTCCTTCTCTCCATTGCCATTTCCTGTTACTGTGCTCTATGTTCCCATGGTATCTATTATCTTTTAACATACTATGTTATTTATTTATACTTTAAAATTTTTATCTGTTTCTCCCCACTAGAATGTTAGCTATGAAAGGGTAGAGATATTTGTTTGTTTATTTGTGAACAGTACCTGACCCATATTAGATGCTCAATAAATATTTGTTGAATGAACAAACCAGTAAATAAATGAAATATCAAACAACTTCTACATTGAATCATGGCTAAATAAGTTATTATTATAACATTATTTTACCAGTTATCTATTTTTGATATTTCTAAAAATTAGAAATTATAATAATTATCTTTTCAGCATACATGCATATTAGCATAATGTGTATCTATTACATATTTTTTAAGTATATAGCTATTAAAATGGAAATGTTTGCCCATACATATTCAGAGTCACCTAGTATACTGCTGGTAGTCTTTGGGAAACACTGATTTTGTTTCAAGAGCATCTTCTCCATATGTTAGCATCTACTAACTGTGGCCAGACTGTCTACCCCTCCTGAGATCTCTCCAACTTTGACTTCTGAATTCTACAAGATGTCTGAAAAAGTACAGGGTGTGTGTGAGTCTTGGCTCCAAAAGCAGCATTAAATTTTCAGGAGAAACCACAGCATAATGGGAGGAAGCTGCAAAGTGTGGGCTCTGGAGACAGACTACCTGGATTGAGTCCCCACTTCATTTTTTTTTTTTTTCTGAGTGACCTTGGGCAAGTGCTTAATTTCTCTGTACCTCAGTTTCTTTTGAAGAGCAAAGTTCATGTGTGCAAAGAGCCAAGAAGAATTTGGCATGTAATAAATAAGTAATGTTAGCTAATATTATTATTAACATAATTGTTAATAACCATGGTTATGCATAGCACATTTTTCTAGGTGTTTACAGAATACTCAGATCACGCCAAGCTATTCTAAGAACTTGCTGTTATGACCGCAGACCAGCTACCAGCAGACTATGAGGAATTCTGGAAATGTTTACCTCAGAGATAGGCCAATGTCCTTATTTCCCCCCCAAAAGGGACAAAAAGCTAGGGGTCTCAGAAGTGACTGTTGTTTATTCCCTGTCTATTCTGTAAGAGGTTATTAACATATTGTCTATGTACAGAAAACATTAAATGTAAGTAGCCAGGATCTTCTTGAGGTCATTAAGGATAAGGATATCATTCTGACCTCACTGCATGTCCTTTATCAATACTACCAGGAAGCAAGTATATTGGAACTCTCCCATGAACTCTACAGTCCTATGGCCAACCATCTTATGGATGACTCTACTTAGCAGGTGGACACTTCTGCCTTTGCTCACCCTGTATCCTCTGGATATCCCTTCCCTGCCCTAATTCTTCAGCCTTCAAGATTTATCCATCACCTCCTTCAAGGACTCTTCACTGATACCAGGATTAGCATTAGATTAGCATTAGAAATGAGATTCCCATTGTTGTTGTCCCTTTTCACATCTGTATTACTATGCTCATGATGTTGAATGGTAAATATTTTTTTGTCTTTCACTCCTATTTGATTGTAAGAACACTGAGGTCAGCAGTACCATTCATTCATTTGTTTACTGATACATTAATGCTGTACTAGGTACCAGGGACACAGCTGTGCATAAGATAATGTGAACACTTTTTTCAAAAAGAGTTTATAATCTAAAATGAAAGAGACACTACAAAATTTCTTAAAATAAATGATGTTGAGGGCTATAACAGAGAACTACAGGAATCTCTGATAGCATATAAAGAGAGAACATAACTGAGTTTGAGAGCCTAGGAAGACATTCTTGGAGGAATTGTGGAGTAGGGTGCGGGCAGATGGCTTCAGACAAAGAGAAGGAAATGTATGCTGATCCAAGGTGTGGAAAACAGGCATGTTACTCGGTTTTTGTTTCATGCTAGTACTTAGCACAGTACCTGTGCACATCATGTGCCACATATGTGTTTGTTGAAAGAATCAGCCTCCTTTTCCCCCTAACACATAGACACACAGTTCTTTCCTCTAGGTTTTCCTTCTGTTAATTTATTTGAGGGATTAGAGTTTGTCAGTAGCTAAGGAGCTGACAGGCTATGTGGGATGAGAAAGCATGAAGAGAGGCCAAAGGATTCATTGTTGTTCCCACAGTAGAAAAAGAGGTGTAATGCTAACAGTGACTACTGCTCCATTGCAGATTTATTAATAAGGTTTACTCGATAAG